TCTCATTTTCTTCTGTAGCTTTTAATACTGCTCTAGTGTTAAATCGAAATTGGTTCGAAGCTCCGCTTTGCCTTTCTTTTGGGGAAATTCAGGTGTCATGTCTTGCCAAATTTTTTCAATGTTAGTTCAAAAATGTTGGAAAAATGAGATAACCACTAAAAACATTGAATGAGTCACCTTCAGTTTAGCACGCAAAATCAGGTACCACAAATAATGTTTCCACGCAAATTTTCTTTGGGCAAAATCAGGTTCCTCGGGAAATCAGGTGCCACAAATAATGAGCGGACTGGGTTAAGTGACATATTATATTGAAGTCCTTTCAGTTGTGATTCGAACAAAAATTTAAAATTTCTATTAAAAAATCTCGGAGTTGAGAAAAATTGGCGGAAAATTTTCGTTTTTTTGAACTTCGACCAGTAAATTGAAGATTACTTGCTAACTTGGTCATTTAGGCTAAAAAAAACGTTTAGCAAACGGAATTAGTTTTGAAAGCTATATTTGGCACTTCCCTCGCAAGAAAAAAATCTATATATTTAAATGCAGGCTTCACTATCTCGCCACGCTTAAGCATTTTCAACTTATTCTTTTTGCATGCTAAACCAAAGAGTTTTTTACGGTAAGCAAAATCGTGTATTGCAATGGTAAGAAATTTGTTTCGATTTCAGTTCAAATTCAGTGAGTATTCAGATGCTGCCAGGGTTTCCCAGTAGTTGCCATTTTGGCCTCCAATTATTATGGCCCAGATCCTTTTAGCGTACGAGAAACGACGATTTTTGTGATTTTTTTCAGAAAAATCAAATTACTATAATTTACTTAACTTGAATTTCCCAACCCTGTAGTTGGCGCTGTCAAAGTAATCTCAAGGATTTCAAATCGTGCCTCCTAATATGACTGAGCAAATCCTTGTTTCTTTTCGAGATATTACGTGTTTTATGATTTCTTTTAATTTTTCAGAAAACTATGGTTTTCATAAGTTCGAAAGAATTGAAATGCTCAGCTTTGTAGTTGGGTGTTCTGAGAGTACTCTCACATGTTTCAAATTAAAAATATTGCGTCCGAATGCGATTACTCAACTCGTAGTTTCCGAGAGGTGAGGTTTGTTATGACTTTTTTATATAAATTAATCAAAGAATTTAGATATCAAAAGTTTTCAATTGAGGGTCTGTCAGGGTATTCTCAGGAGTTGCAAGGTATTTCTCCAAATATGACTGCTCAAATATTTGTAATTTTTGAGATATATGAAGCTTGTGTGATTTTTCTAAAATTTTCAGAAAACTTAAATTGATTTTTTTCAAAAGCGAAATTCGCAATCCTGTAGTTGGGGGCTGTCAGAGTACTCTCAGGGGTTACAAATGTTGACTCCAAATGTGAATACACAACTCTTTGTTGTTTGCTACATTGACGTTTTGTTTGATTTTTAAAAAGTTTTTCAGAAAACTTCAATTTCTTCTTTTTTTCTCTTCAAAATTTGAAATTCTTCACCTAGTAGTTGGGGGCTGTCAAAATATTCACAGGGGTTTTCACTGCTCAAATCTCGTAATTTTGACATATGACGGAAAACTCTAAATTTGAAGTTTCTCAAAATTTGAAATTCGCAACGCTGTAGTTCGGTACTGAAAGATAACTCTCGGCAGTTGCAAATCTTGCGTCCAAATGCGACTGATATATATTTTTTTCGTTTTTGAGATGTGACGTTTGTTAATTCATTTTATAATTTTTCAAAGAACATAGATACAAAAAACTTCACAAAATTTTAATTCGAAAACTTAAATAAAAGTTTGAATTAAAAAAAACTTGAATAAAAAATTTTACAAAATTTGAAATTACCAACCCTATAATTGGGTACTGTCAGAGTACACTCATAGCATGCAGATCTCCTTTCCATTGTATGCGTTTTTTTAATGAGTTGTTAAAAAGTGTTACACGGAGGTGCTTTACATGCTAGTATTGTTTACAAAAAATAGAAAAATTATGCCTTATTTGCCAACGTTTCACGCGTGTATATAGTATAGTTATCATCACACGACGTACAAAAACGACGCTAATTTGAAGAACTGAATAATTTGAAGTTTTATTTTTAGCTCTGGTCCGAACATTGTGCTTCTTGCACAGCAACCGGCTATCCTTGTTTTTTTTTCCGTTTGATAGTTTTAAAATTTTGCTTAATACTGCGCGTTCGGATCATTTAATTTTTCCGGATCTCTGGTCTTGTGCCCAATTATTGTCTACTCAGTTACCGCATCATAAACTTTCTTTTGATGCTAATTTTCTTTTGACAATTGATTCTGTTTTAATAAGTAGAATGCTTTCCGTATTAGAGAGTTGTATCAAAAAAATTTAAAAAAAAAGTTTAATGAGTTTGAAAAATTGCAACAGTTTTAGTACCTAGAATTATTTTAAAGTGTTTCTCTGCATTCAGTTGCTTCAATCTGTTCAACGAGTTTTCATGAACGAGCTTTTAATGTGCCGCACGGTGTTTTTATTGCACGGAACTGCTAGATGGGGTCCAGTGAGTTTCATGTCATTTCAGTGATGATACGGATTCCAAAACCGGATCAACCGTAAAATATCCCCGCTCCCCAAAATGATATCGATGAGAAGAAAATTATATCACCTTTCAAGATTAAATTATCGGAAAATAGATAAAATGTCGATTCAACTGATTTTGTAGCCTATCAAGAATTGTATGAAGAATTGCAAAATGGTTATATTTTGTGCGCTAATGTGAATTGTATTTTTTCTTTTCTAAAGAATTAAATTTCAGAATTAATACATGATTGGGGAGGGCATTCTACGGTAGGTCACTTAAGGGGGGGGGGGGGGCGAGAGATTGCGCGTTTGATCCCCAAAACCGAAAAGGATATCAGTATCCAGAAAAAGCTGCATTTTTCCAATTGATGATAGAGGGGTATATGCTTAGCGCGACCTTTCATTCAAAACGCGCTCGGACCATTGAGAATAGGAGACAACTGAGAAATGGCAAACCAAACAGCGACTGGGTATTAAATGATTGAATAAACTTGACTGTCTTCAGCAAATAGCATCAGTTTTGACTAGAATCATTGGATGAAAGAAAATCCTTGTTTGATTTAAAAGGACGGTCATTTAGGATACAAGACTCTTCAAAGATTTGCGAATTAAGTTGGTTTTTGTTTTATAGTCCACGCAGATGTTCATGTTTTCTTGGTTTCAGGTTAGAAAATGCCCTCGAAATGCCAATTTTGGCTGTTTATTCTGGATTTCTGTATTTAATTATTGCTCTTCGGGTACTTATTAAGACGCCATGTGAAATTCTTTTTTAATTTCGCTAGAAATTTAAATAAATATGTTTTATACCAGTGCTGGACAATGCATCTTTGAAATCATTATCATTACGAAATCAAA